AAATTTCACATGAAAATATTTAATACCAGAAAACCCTCGCAGGATCAGTGCTAATTACTCATTTGTAATTCATTTGAAGTGTTGTTCTTCTTCCTTCTTTCTTTCCTTCAGATGTCCAAAAAGTACAAAATAAATAACGTTTTAGTCATTAGGTTTAGATTCCCGTCAGAAGTAGGGAATGTTCGTATTGCCACCACGTTCAGACTTCCTCTGGGGCCCACCCAGCCTCATATCCAGTGGTTTTTTTCCCCAGAGGTGAAGAATGTAGAGCGTGAAGCTAACCACGCACATGCATGTAGTGCCAAGGTACATGGAGCCATACCTCCACTCCCCATACGTCCTCATGTCGTGGGTGCGTAATTAGGCAGGGGCTCTTTACGCGTCATATATCCTATTAATTATTTATGTCCTAAAACTTGTTAATGAAACCCAAATTTGGATCCTTATTTTCTCCAAATAATGTAGTGTTTACACAAAAAGTTATTTACTGGTAATGCTAACATAAAATGTTTTTGGATTATACAAACAGGCCTTGTTGCAAGTTCGTAAATATATGAAATTTAACATAGAAGAAATAGGTTTCAAAACCAGAAAAATTTGAAAGAAATAACTACCCAAAGTTCTAAATAATATATTTATTTATATATTGCATTCATTTCATTATATGGGCTCTGCCCTAGCAATGGTAAAGCTGTTACATGTCGTTGGGACTCTTTCTGAGTGGCTGAACACGTATTCAAATCGAGTGTAACTGAATTTAAAGTCTTCCCACCATCAGTCTAGATGAATGAAAATGAAATCGAAGTTTGATCCTACACTTTAAACTGGAGCTGTGATTAGAAGCGTGTGCACAAAATATGTCACCCGAGTAATTCCTGGATTCTTACGTCACCGAATTTTCTTTTGACTTTAAAACAATAATTTTCATCTGCAGAAACTAGACTCCGGCTATCGGAAGTAAAGAACATATTATGAACAAGTAAACGACAAGCGAAAGTTTGACTCGCAGTAAAGAAAAATTGCTCGTTAGTTTAAATACACGCGCCTTATAGTGTGTGATTGTACGGGCTATCATTATCCGCGTTTTCATTTGCCCGCTCCGAGACGTTTGTGTGTTTAATTTAGTATTAATCTACCCACAAATATATTGCAAGGTCTTATATTAGAGCTACTTTCAATTACAAATATTCTACTGAATTTTGAGTGAATGAGACTAAAATACGAGTCGTATATTCGTATAGTAGAGAGTGTTTTTTTTTTTGTATGAAACTGTGACTTTTCAGCCAGATTTCATACAGCCCAAAATCGAACCCACTTATCATAAAATGTCCCCGTTATGTTATTCATAATACTGCGTTTTGATTGGTTATCTCGAGCTGACGTAATATGGCTGTTGGCATTTGTTATATTAACTTTGAGGTAGCTGCAACATGAAAATGATTTTTAGGGAAATTTTTCGTTCCATTATCTCTTTATTTAAAACGTACGGATTGAATTAGCAACATTGTTTTTCCGGGGGGGGGGATGAAATAACCATAACATGACTTGACTCCCTGACATTTCTCAGTAATTTACGAATGAAGTGATAAACCTTGTATCGAACGAACAAAATAAATAAATTAAACAGCCCCAGTCATTACGACATCGATATTTTAGGGGTGTCTATTCGACGGTGTTATGTCAGTAGGGTGTTAAATATTAAATATATTCGCTTGTACTCGAAATTCACGCTAATATACGTAGTGGTACTTCAGCAATTTTACTAGTTACGAGCAGGCTGAGAACTGGGTCTGCAAAAATGTCATTATTTTGACGGATGGAGATGCTAGAATGGATGCATTTGTAACAGTATGAGGCGAGACAAAGCACATCCTAAACTCATCTATTAAATGTGACACGTTTTAGAATGTGTCAGATTAATACGTCAGTAAACCTTAAATGTAAACGTAAACAAGAGCATATATACCCCATTAATATAGTTATCCTCTAGGCTGTTACTGAAGGCTAATTGAAACTGTTCTGTTGATTGGGTGACATCCCTCCCTGTGGATATTTGACACTCCTCTTCATTACTGAGTGGTACATTGCAATCTGGCACAACAGAAAAGCAAAATATATTGTTATCTGAACAAAATTATTGTTTTTCCTTAATCTGTCCGGATCAAGTTATCAAATTGGTAAGCACTGTGATAGTGTTGTGCTTATTGCGTGCTCAGAACAGTGCGTATTTATTTATTCATAATCACGTTATCTGCTTATCCGTTCAATAAATAACCTTGATTGTGTTTAAATGAGACGTGATGCATATAACAAGTGTTTCTTGGTAGAATGATTCTGAAATCAACATATTAGGGTATCATCATCATCATCAGTGAATGTACAACCCGGTGTAGGTTTCTTAGTCTTTGAAGTGTGCGTTTGTGAGTAGTGAGTGACCAGCCCGCTGACTGCCAGAGCCATCTAGCAGTAAATCGGGAGCCTTGAGTGAGAAATTGCCGCTGAATTTTGCTTACGAAACATCTCGTATATTAGGTTATGCGTCATTTAATATTTATGTTTTAAATGTAATTTACTGTTATGATTTCATTTGAAGGACTTCATTTCCAAGGTGCAAAATAATTAATTAAATATCATGTATTAATGCGGTCAAATAAAGGAGGGTCATGTTTTAACAAATACGTAGAAATAGGATATATTAAATATTTTGATTAGGAAATATGAAGCAAAGGGACTATTTCTGACACCTGGCCGTAGATTAAAGAATAATATTGTAATTAATTTTAAAGAAATAGTTGGTGACAATGTGGACTGAATTTATTTGATTCAGGTGAAGTTCAGTGGTGGATTTTTGTGAGTCCGGTAATGAACATTCGATTCCCATAGAAAGAGGCCGAATTTCTTGAGTAGCCAGACTTATAGATTTTAGATAATTAATAATTTGTTATACGTTTTGTGTTTTTTAAACATTGAACCATACTTTGAGAAAAAGCATTCTTACCTTTGTTGTATTTACAAAGTTCCAAGGTAACATTTGGACCTGTGACAGATTGACTTATGAGGAATAAATAAAATCACATTTTTAGAAACGTTTTGGTTTGCATTAAAGTATATTTGAATATTTAAAATCATGGAGGTTACGAAACAGACATATACAAAACTTCGGTGGGAGTCTGATGAAAATCACCAGTCTGGGAGACCTAAATAAAGACGACAGCATAATAGATTTTAGAGTAAAATGTTCTAATAATTTTTACTGCAATTGACCATTATATTACAACGTTAATAACACTTTCCTGTGCCTTAGTACTTGGCCTTCATTTTATTTTAATTGATTTTCCTACTTATACCATTCTCTGTTATCTTTCCAAATAAAGCATTGTAGTAACTCGTTAACTGAAATTTCCAAGTGTGGTTCACATTCCCAAAAATCCCAACTATTTTATACACTTAGCCTTTTTGACTACTGAATATCATGCAGACACATGCATCGGACATAATCAAACTGCCGAGTAACTGTAACAGTAGGTATAAAAACAAGTACCAATTTATCGAGTTTTGTCCGTGGCAAACCGTTCGCTTTGATCATTAGCATTAGCTTTGTACGTTATACGAAGGATAGCTTGCATGCATCAAACCTGACGTCACCATAGTTACGTTTTAATTTCCGGCAAAGTTAAAACACACATTAGTTGTTGCAAAATAAAACGCTTTGAATCGATACTTCGATTGGTAAGTCGTTAGCGTCAGTAATTCCATGGTTACAGCGGTTATTATGTTTTCCGCACTTGTTTTGTG